ATATATATATATATATTAAAATTTTAAAATTATTAAATTTTTAATGAGAAAGACTAAAATTCCACAATTATGATATTTGAGAGATTAAAATTGTTCAATTAAAAATTGTGAGACTAAAATTACACAATTATAATCTTTTAAGGACTGAAATTACTCAATTAAAACCTTAAAGATCAAAATTGCATAATTATAATATCAAAAACACAATTAAGTAAAGAATATTTTATTCACAGTTCTGGAACGGGCCGTTCTGAAACCAGAACGGCCCGTTCTGATTTCAGAAAGGCCCATTTTGAATCAGAACGACCCGTTCTGATTTTAGAACGGCCCGTTTTGCTTCACTGGTGGTGTTTTAATTTTGCAACTAAAACGGTTCGTTCCGGTTTCAGAATGGGTCGTTCCGAGTCCAGGTCTATTAAAAAGAATTTTCTCATCCACGTGGATGTCACGTATGCATCTACGTGGCATCCACGTGGCCAAAAGTTAACTCCGTTTAAATAATTTGGACGGAAGTCCTACATTGAAACTAATTAAGTAATTTGGGACTAAATTGAAACTAATTAATTAATTTGGGACCAATTTGAAACCAAAAATTAGTGAAGGACTAAATTGAAAAAAAAAATTTATAAGGGACAAAATAAGGTTTTAGCCAAATTAAATTAAATAAGAAATTTAAAAACATCATGTAAATATATTATAGAAAAAAACTCTTGCATAAAATAACGGTTGGTATTTAATATAATTAATTTGTATTTATTATTTTCAACCAATTTATTAGAATTTGTGAATTTAGATGAGCAATGTCTTACTTTGATTGTTTAATTTATGAATTATTTTAATTCTAGTTTATAAAAAGGGGGGGGGGGCGGGGGAAGAACGGGAGAAAAGAGCGGCGGCTACCGAAACTCGAAAAGCAAAAAAGGTTAACGATATCCCGATCCGCGCATGCCTTTGGAAACGATATTTAGCCGTTGAAATCCATCTATCGACGTTCATTAATTGTCCATCCATCAGTCCACGGATCGCAAACTTGAACCGTAGATTAACCTTAAAATCTAACGGCCAAGATCAAATTCGAAACACGGAGGAAGCCTCTTCCCGCTCCAATAAATACCCCCAATCTTCTACGCAAACTTCATCACATTTAAAACCAAAGCCCCAAATCCTCAATTTAGGTTTCAAAGCAAATTAACCTCAGAAGATGTCTGGTCGTGGAAAGGGTGGAAAGGGTCTGGGCAAGGGAGGTGCCAAGAGGCACAGGAAGGTGCTTCGCGACAACATTCAGGGCATCACCAAACCTGCGATTCGTAGGTTGGCGAGAAGAGGTGGTGTTAAGAGAATCAGTGGTTTGATCTACGAAGAGACCAGAGGAGTTCTCAAGATTTTCTTGGAGAACGTGATTCGCGATGCTGTCACCTACACCGAGCATGCTAGGAGGAAGACTGTTACTGCCATGGACGTTGTTTATGCGCTCAAGAGACAGGGAAGGACCCTCTATGGATTCGGAGGCTAAACAATTTGTTCTTTTCAATGGCTTTGATTCTGTAATGTAGGATGTTTCTCTAGTTTTACATTGGATAATAGTTGTATAACTACGATTGGAATTATATCCTGTAATGTTTCTTCATTAAAGATTATAGTTCAACGTTAAACGTTTTGTCTTCTCCTGCTAATTTAACACTCCACAGTGTCATTTTCTAACAGTTCATCGATATATTTAATGATCTCTTGATTGTTTCAGTTATGTTTTTGGTGTAATCCACTACTAAAAGTATTCAAAGGATCGATGTTCTTTATTGATTTCTGTTTTGTGTTGCCTTTGGTTATTAAGGGAAAATCAGATGACTACATCTCTGTTTTTAATGCCATGGTAGGGATGTCAGGACCGTGTCACCTGTCTCGCCTCGGTGAACTCTTTTAAATACTAAATTTTTTTAGCGCTTGCAAGGAATCATTGAAGACACAGGAATGTCTCATGAAGATGAAAACCTTGGCTGAAATGTGGGAACTTGAATATCAGAGTGCGCAATCTCAACTTTTGATCTAAATATACGAACCGTCGTTGGATTTGATAAGTGAAACCCAGTTGGGTGCAGTTTTCTACGTTTGAAAACAGAACAGAACAACTCAGCTAGGATTTTGAAACCTCACTACTAATGTTTTTGTATTGTGGCTGCTAGACCAAACAATTGAAGGAGGCGATAAAGACGAGGAAGTTCCAAAGATAGGTCGGTTAAAAACAGTCGTGCGTAGTCGGATCTAAAATTTCAATGATTTTTTTCAATATAATTTTTACAATTCATAAAATATATTAATATATTTAATTACAGTAATTATTATATTAATTATAAATACTAAGCAAAATCTTATGTGATTATCTTATAATGACTATTTGATTTTATTTTAGGTGTTGCAAAAGTTTAATTTAATTTAAATTAAAAATATATTTTTAATAATTTTTTTTATTTTCTTGTTCAATATTCATATTTAATAAATACTCAACTCTTTCATTAACTATATATAAATACTCAAAATTCTCATTAATTACACACTGTTTCTTATCTTTTTAACATGTTCATATCTTAAAAAAAAAAAAAAGAATAATACATATTATGCTTTAATAGACTATGTTTGGTAACACATTTGAAATTTGTGACCTCAATTACTTAACTTTAAATGCAATGCTTATATGTTTGACAATTTTGTTTTTCCTTTTCATTCAATATAAATACATGTAAACATCGGTGGAAACAAAAATTAGAAGAGTGTTGCTTTTATTTAAAATTGATTTTAAAAGTCAACTTCAATTGAATTTAATTTTCTAACTATAATTCAATGACACATAGTAATCATCCTTGACTTATCTTAGTTGCAACCTAAAAAGAGTGTCATAATGAGTCTAATGTAATAGGTTTACTATATAATCTTCTAAAGCGAGTTACTTTAGTTTGATTGTACTATTCAACCCTTTATAACTCATACAATCAAACTTGCATATTCTACCACCCAACAAATTGAATGAACATTTAGTTGGATTAGCCTTTTAGGTTGATTCGCTGGGTTAAATTTGACCCATTAACTTATATTATTTTTATTTATTGTTGGGTACTTATTAAGACTTTTTTTTAAAGGGAAGGTGTTTATTTTAAGACTTATTTATAATTGTATTATGTACTTATTTTATTGTTGCTAATGAATTTATTTATGATTATATTATGAACTTTTTTAATATTATCATGCCTCTTGTTGATGTGGAGCTAAACCATTACCATTAATATTACACTTAAGATATCTCTCAAAAATCTGTAATTGAGATGCATCAATGATGACTACTATTAAGACATAAAATGTATATTATTTCTTATGATGTATGTGCATGTTAAAAAAGAGATGGTGTGTGTAGTAAATGAGAGAATTGAGTGAAAAAAAAACACTAAATTATATAGACAAAAATCATATTTAAGCTCAACTTTAAGTTTAATTCGATCAATGTATTATATATTCTAATACATTAATATATTTAATTATAGCAATTATACAATAATTATATATTATAATTTTATTTGAATCAATCAATTAAATTACATATGTGAATGTGTTTTTAAAAATAATATTTATACTTATTATAAAGGTTAAAACCCTTATTTGGTCTCTTATAATATTTTTTTGTTTCAATTTAGTCCTACTTTAATTTTTGGTTTCAATTTGGTCCCCAATAATTTAAATTATTGCAATTTGTGACTTCCGTCCAAATAATTTAAACAGAGTTAACTATTAGCCACGTGGATGCCAGGTGGATGCCACGTAGATGCATATGTGGATGCCAAATTTCATGAATACACCTGGAACCAGAACGACCCATTCTGCTTGCACATGTTATGCGTTAATTTTGCAATTGGAACGGGTCGTTCCAAATGCAAATTTAACACACAATGAAAGCAGCAGAACGGGCCGTTTTGGTTTCAGAACGGGTCGTTCTTGTTCTAAGTGTATTCAATAAGCAGCAGAACGGGCCGTTTTGGTTTCAGAACGGGTCGTTCTGGTTTTAAGTGTATTCAATAAATTTGACATCCACCTATGCATCTACGTGGAATCTACGTGGCATTCACCTGGCATCCACGTGACCAATAGTTAACTCTGTTTAAATCATTTGGACGGAAGTCACAAATTGCAATAATTTAAATTATTGGGGTCCAAATTGAAACTAAAAATTAAAGTGGGACTAAATTGAAACAAAAAAATATTATAAGGGACCAAATAAGGGTTTTAACCTATTATAAAAGAGATATTGAGTTATGTAACCGTTTTTTATCTCCATTTTTTAGTAAATCGTTATACTCTTTGGATATATAAGAGAAAAAAAAAACTCTTTATTTCCTCTCTAAATAATGGCTATTACTACTGTGCCCTTTTATGTGAAAGGGTTTCAATGCCCCTTTATGTAAGGACCAACTATAGATTGACATGTGGATTCTATAAGCTGATTCATTGTAAACTGGTTAAGGGGTAATTTGGGATTTTGACATGTGAAAACGATCCTGAACCCCGTTCCTGAAACCCGTTCGGAAACCCGTTTCTCGGACGACAAAGCAAGTTTGTAGATCTGAAAATTTTGTCTTCTTCTCCAACGAAGTAAGTTGGTTTGTGAGCCTTAAACCTCGAATCATCTCGAACGAAGCAAGTGACGGAAGTTCCCAGCAACTTTCTCCGGAGACAACATCCCGTCACGCACAAGTTCCCATTCGTGGCGTTGTTAGCATTCCCTGCGTAAGTAGGACCCGAGGCAGTGCCAACCCCTACAGTAGTAATCCATGGAGCCACATCGGAGAGACTATCAGAAGTAGGACCCGCATTCCCAATGGAACAAGAAACCAAAATCCCTTTCTCCATTGCAAAAAAGCTCCAATAGCTACGTGGTCTCTGAAATAATCAGCCACTCCACCACCGAGCGACAACGAAAAACATTAAGTTGTCTGTTATCGCCCTATCAATCGTGGCCAGAATGTTGGAGCTGAAACACCCTCCCTTCCAGCAAACCTTGTAAACAGCGACTCTCACGCGCGTGGCCATCCCACGTGTTGTCTTGGACGCGTAGCCGAACAAACTCGCGCCAGAAACCACCGATCCCGAGGCAGTGCTAGCGGCATGGGTATCGTGGTGGTCGTCGTCACGCGACAACCTAGAGTACTCCTCTATTTACAGTAACGCCCTTGGTGCAAATTACCCAATTGTCCCTTGACCATATGTCAAAATGTCAAATTAACCCCTAACCAGTTCACAATGAGTCAGTTTATAGAATTCACATGTCAATATATGATTGGTCTTCACATGAGGGGCACTAAAACCCCCTCGTATAAAAGGGCACCGTAGCAATAGTCCTAAATAATTACTCACAACCTTTTCTTTATATACATAATTATGTCAGGGTAATCAACTTAATTTTTTTTTAATGTTAATTGTTAGAGACATAACGTAAAAGATTAATTTTGAGTCATTTTATAAAATTATACATACAGACTAAATTTAAATTTTATAAAAGGTAAAGAATGAATCTAAAAAACTAAAGGTATATTTTATGACTGAATTGAAATTTCATAAAAGGTAAAGGATCAATTAAAAAACTAAAGGTATATTTTATCCTAAAACAAATAAAAGGATAGTGGGTGATTAATCGATCAATGTGAGTAGTTTTTAATGTGAAGTTATAAAAAAAATAAAATAAAAATAAATTTTATAAAGAAGTAATTATAAAAAATTAATTATAAGCTATATTTGAAACTAAGTTTTACGTCATTTTTTGTAAATAAATTTTAAATTTAATATTAATATTAGAGACTATAAAAATATTATAAAACATACGAATTTTGATTATATTTTTCATTAAGAAAATTGTAGAAAAATATCATATCTTTGCTAAATTTTAATATTTTAGAAGTTATATATATATATATATATATATGACATGTAAAAAAATTTAATTATATTAACTAATAATTATTAGGGGTGAGCATTAAACCGACACCCAAACCGAACCCGAAAAACCCGAAAAAAAATATTGCTTTTGGGTGGGTTCGGGCGGGTCTTATGGGTAAATCGGGTTAAAATTTTGATTTTATACGGGTTATATTGGGCGGGTTCGGTTTTGAATTTTTAAACCCGCTAAAAACCGAACCCAACCGAAAATGAGATAAGTTTAAATTTTTATTACTTTTGTATAACTAAACAACAATGGTCCAAATTTAAAAGTCTTTATTTCAAGTATAATATAGCCATCAATTTGTAACTTATTTTTTTCCTTTTTCTCATAACTTAGATATTTATTTTGTCTTCTCCTTCCTCATTCAACTTCTCAACACACTAGTCCATTTTTAGAGTTATCTTTTTGCTTCTTTCTTTGTCTTTCTTTTCCATCTTCTTATCTCCATTTTGAGTACATTTTGTGTGACTGTGATTTCTTATGGTTTTGTAATCTAACTTTATATTTCTTTTCCATGTAACAACTATGAATTTTGTTATCTTTTATTTTTGCTTCTTTAGTTTGTAAATGTTTCAACTACGAATCTATTTACACCATCTATTGTCACCTTCATTCTATTTTTATACACTATTTTAAAAATATTTTTTATCGTTTTAAGCTTCATCTTCGTTAAGATAAATTGGTCTACAAAAAAATTCAAACCCGATTATACCCACCCGCTTAAATCCGAATCCGTTTCAACCCGAACCGCCTCAAATCGAAAGCTCAGTCGGTCGGATATGGGTCACATTTTTTCAAAGCCGGTTTACAACGGGTTGGACATTTTTCACCCGAACCCGACCAAACCCACCCGTTGCTCACCCCTAATAATTATTAATAGTTTTAAAATAAACAAATTAAAAAATTAACTTAAAAAATCACTTGTTATTAAAATTTATTTTCTGTTGTTATTAATGTATATCTGTTAAATTTAGTTTAGATAATAATTATGCCATCTAATTAAGCTATTGAAAGTGAATATCATTTTTAATGTTGAATTTTATTCCCCTTTTGAATCTTTAATTTAACCTATTATTTATTTTTTTTTAAAAAAGTTAAAAAGTACGGCCACCCAAAACTCGAGTCGAGAAAAAGCAAACAAAGTCCCAATCCTCACTTGCCGTATCAAACAATATCTGATCGTTAAAATTTATTTATCGACGTCCCTTAGGCTCCCACTTATCAAACCACGGATCGCCAGTCTGAACCGTGGATTAGTCCGAAATCCAACGGCAGAGATCAAAATTTGAAAACACCGAATCTCCTCTTCCCGCTCCAATAAATACCCCAATCTTCCTGTCAAACTTCATTCAAATTGCAACCAAAACCCCAAATTTTCAAATTCGAGTTTTCAGCAAATAATCCTCTGAAGATGTCTGGTCGTGGAAAAGGTGGAAAGGGTTTGGGCAAGGGAGGCGCCAAGAGGCACAGAAAGGTTCTCCGCGATAACATTCAGGGCATCACCAAGCCTGCAATTCGTAGATTGGCGAGAAGGGGTGGTGTTAAGAGAATCAGTGGTTTGATCTACGAAGAGACCAGAGGGGTTCTCAAGATTTTCTTGGAGAACGTGATTCGTGATGCTGTCACCTACACCGAGCACGCTAGGAGGAAGACTGTTACTGCCATGGATGTCGTTTATGCGCTCAAGAGGCAGGGAAGGACCCTCTATGGATTTGGAGGCTGAACAATTTCTTTGGTCTTATCTCAACTACTTTTTCTTTTGAATTCCCTAATGTTTAGTTTACGACTGTTGTGTAACATATAAAAGCTTATTGGGTTGTGTTTTGCGTACAAAGTGTACAACTTTGAATGAAATCGAATGAAGGAGTATTGCTTTTGTGGTGCATGTTATGGACCAAGCATGTGTTTTTATACATTGTTTATTTATTGTGTTATGAGGTTATTTAGCGCTAAAGTGTATAACTCTGTTAACATAACCATCTGTTTCGCAAAATTTTTGTTCTTGCTTTTGGTATTTTGAGCTGAAAATGTTGTTTAAAAATTTAAAGTTAATTATCTGATGGATCTGTTTGGTTTCTTCTAGTCTATTTAAATATCGTGGCGCTTATGTTGATGATAGTTTGTGGTGGGTTTTTGAATTTTGAAAAGCTTGTAGGCTTGCTTTGTAATCATAATAATAATAACTTCATAGTAGGAATTTAGTTTGTGTGTTAATTTTATTCTTTTTTTTTTGGCTCTTTCAAATGGTAGTTTATGGTAAACAAATGTTTTTCATTGTTAAGTAGCGGTGTTTTTCATTGTTATTTTGGGTTACTTTTTGTTTTTCCTTTTATCATCTTTAGTTGGAGTAAGCTTGTGCTTTTTGTCTCTTTCTTGCCTCTTTTCATTTTTATCTTGGCCAATGTTTAAGATGGTATTAAAGTTCTGTTGTGCTGCTGTACTCTCTTTTTTGTTTTCATGGCTTCTTCTTCAATCATGAGTGAAGGAGCGAACTCTCTAGCTAACATTCATAGCTATGTCTACTTACACCCCAGTGAAAATCCCCCTTTAACTCTCGTATTACCTCTTCTCGAGCTTAGTAATTACCATACATGGAGCAAGTCCATGGAGATGACACTCAGCGGCCAGCACCGAAAACAAGTTAGAATTCATAGATGGAAGAGCTCCAGAACCACCTCTTGATGATAGGTTTCATGGTGCATGAAAGCAATGCAATAACATGGTAGCTTCATGGATTGTAAATTCTATTTCTTCTCAATCAAACAAAGCATGGTATGGATGAACAAAGCTGAAGACATTTGGCGTGACTTGAAATCCAGATAAGCGCAGGGCGACCTCTTTTGAGTTTTAGAACTACAACTTGAAACTTCTTCCATCAAGCAAAGAGGAAAGAAATTATTCACCAAACCAACTGTCTTGATACTCTAGAGCAAAACGAGATTGTGGAGAGAAAACATCAACATTCTCAATGTTACCTGTGCTTTGCTGTTTCATAGTGGGTTGCCACCTTTATTTTGGTGTTTTACCATTCAACATGCTATCACTTATAAATTGCATTCCTACTCCCATTTTGCATGATCACCTTACACAAAATTATATAACAAGGATTGTGATATCTCTTCATTCAAAGTTTTTGGTTTTCTTTGTTATGAAAGTAACTTATATGCCAATTGCAAAAAATTAGATGGCCGGGCTGACCCATGTATATTCATTGGTTTCAAGGATCACACAAAGGGTTACCTATTATATAATATGAAAAGTGACTCCATTGATGTTAGTAGAAATGTGTTATATTATGAAAACCATTTTCCC